GGAGACACTACCGCGTCTCCTGATGATAACATGCATAAATATATTTCATGTATAATTATATATGTTAATAAATATTTATACGTGTTTATATACGTTTATACATATTTATTTATTTATACATATTCATGCATGAAAAATTTTTTATCGAGTATCATACCTCAAGATGGCTACGCCAAGATTAATTATCTGACATAATTCTTTAAATCTCATCCATTTTAAGGTAATGTAAATCCATAAGCTTCATGTTCTTTTTTAATATTATATAATTATAATAGTATGCATATATTGATACGATGTATCTGATACATTTTTCATAGATCCGTTTTTTCATTAATAAAGTTTATTGTCGTTCAACTCACCGTAATATTGCAACAGCGGAGTTGTCAGAGTTACACAACTAACAATAAGTATGATGATTCCGTAATATACAAATAAAAATAATAATAACACAATCCGTAAAGGCCATACGAGTCACGGGCTGATGAAGGTGCCAACGATTAATTTCAATCTTAATTAATCATTAATGTATAGAATCCTCTTTATTGAACGTTTCGACTCACTTTGGAGTCCTCCTCAGCAATACATATGTGTAATTAATATGTTAAGTATTCCGTCAACATGAGTCACTTACAGGTTCCCGACTGTAGTGGTCCTCAAACAGAACATTCAACATGTTTCATGAGCTTTGTAAGTTTATATTAACAACCATTAAAACTGATCTTCATTATATACATTTAATTTCAATTTCACATCTCCGGATAACGTAACGTGTTTGTCGAACATTTTAAGCAAATAATATACAAACAAGTAGTAATATACAAGCAAGTAATATACAAACACAAGAGCCAAATTTAAAAAGCGCTTAAAATAATCGATGATAAAAGACAATTCTCTCTCTCTCTCTCTCTCTCTCTCACGCGTATAACTTTTTAATCGTCTTTCAATTAATTAAATACGAGGACAAGTCAATAAGTTCTTAGAAAATCTGTCAGAGGGCACTCGCAGTGTCATGTCACATTATTTTTTGACAAGTAGCATCTTTCAGCTGATTACTGTCAAATTTTGAACGGAATTCATCGCGTGGTTTCATTTCTGTAGACGATTAAAGCAAACAACCTTTGTATTTTTTGCAAAATAGAAAAAAAACGAGTTTCGTGCAGTGATCAAACATCTACATATGAAAGGTTTAACGCCGAAAGAAATCAAAGCCGAGTTGGATAATGTTCATAGCACATCTACACCAACATTTTCGACTGTATACAATTGGGTGAATGAATTTAAACGTGGTCGTACATCCACATATGATGCACCTCGTTCGGGACGTCCAATTGAGGCTGCTACGCCAGAAATCATCGATAAAATCCACGATATTGTTTTGACTGATCAACGAGTGAAAGTGCGCGAGCTTGTTGAGGCCACAGGCATATCACATGGCACAGTGATTTCAATTTTGCACGAACAATTGGGTATGAAAAAGCTATCGGCAAGATGGGTGCCGCGTTTGCTCACTGTGGACCATAAGCGCGACCGTGTGACGATTTCAAAACAATGTTTAGAGATGTTTCAACCATCTAGATGAATTTCTGCATCGATTCATTACTGTGGACGAAACATGGATCCATTACTTCACACCCGAGACGAAGGAACAGTCAAAACAATGGACTTCATCGGGTGAATCAGCTCCGAAGAAGGCGAAGACCGTGAAGTCGGCCGGAAAGGTGATGGCCACAGTTTTTTGGGATGCACGCAGTATAATTCATATCGATTATCTTCCGTCGAAGCAAACGATCAATGGTGATTACTATGCAGCCTTATTGGACCGTTTCAACAACATTTTAAAGAAAAAACGTCCCCATTTGACGAAGAAGAAAGTGCTCTTCCATCAAGACAATGCACGGGTTCACATATGCTCGGTATGCCGGGCAAATTTAACCGATGGCCAAATTCAACGAATTCCGCTACGAATTGTTTCCCCATCCAGCATATTCGCCAGATTTAGCCCCCTGCGACTATTTCCTGTTTCCAAATTTGAAGAAATGGTTCGGAGAAAAGAGATTCACCACCAGAGAGCAGCTCATCGTCGAAACAGAGGCTTATTTTGAAGGGTTGGACAAATCATATTATTCGGATGGCTTGAAAAAGTTGGAGAATCGTTGGATCAAGTGTATCGAGCTGAAAGGAGACTATGTTGAGAAATAAAAATGAATCGATAAAAAAAAATTGTGTTTTACTATGTTTTTCTAAAAACTTATTGACTTGCCCTCTATTAAAATATAATTATATATATTTTTCAGAAAGGTCAAATCTTCATACAAATAAACTTTTATAAAAATTCAAATTAATTCGTCTCTAATAATTATTTCTAATCTATTAGCAGTGAATCTGAATAAACCAGAAGAAATGACTAATTTTATGCAAGTATACAATAATGTTTACCGCAAAGTTATTCCACAAATACCATCTCTTTCCTAATACCCGTGTCACACTACGCATTGGAGATTGAGGATTGCGAATTAAGGATTAGAATTCGACCAATCAGGTAATTTTAAGTTTAATCCGTTTCGTTCTAATTGGCTGAATTCTAATCCTCAATTTGTAATCCTCAGTCTCCAATGCATAGTGTGACACGGGCATTAGCTTTCTCTTGATACTTTCGAATTGTCAAGCCTTCTCAGTTCTCCTCTGCCATGGTAACGTAGAAGCAGAGAGAAACCTGAAGCTGGTTCTACATTAGTATCGCATCACAGCGTCGTAAGTATAGATATTTATATCTAATGGCCCGTCTACAATATGCAAAGTAAGCTTGGTTTAAGTAGAGTTCTAGGGTGCGGTTCACTTGACGTTACAAATGCTTCGAAACTTTTGATTGACCAATCAGAAGAAAGAATTTTATTAATTAACCAATTGAAAAATACTTCGTAGCATTCATAGCATCAAGTGGACCGTAGTCCTAGATTTATCAGAGAGGCGCAACCGGCTTGTATAACAAAGGTATACTAGGGAGGGTACTAAACATGACTGACATGCTATGAAACTGCCTTTAAACTGTCAAACAAGATAAGACAAAGTAATATAAAATTATATTTAAATGAATCGTATCAATTCTTTAGAGAGAATATTTATGTATTAATAAGTCAGTTGATTAATTGTCATTATAATCGCTTTTGCGTATCACCATAACCTCTTAAATTGCACTGCTGTTAACATCGAGTAAAACTTTGCTCGATGGTAAAGATTCTCGATAAAATTATTCCTGAAATTAAAAAAATATTATTGCATTACTCAGATAAATAATTCTGTATGATACGTAGAAGAATTTCATATAGTTTAATGTGGAGTTTTACTATGGAGTATTCCAACTGTTTGAAATGAAGTAATTTTAAAGTCATTTGTGATTGCTTGTTTGTAAATTAAAACAGAAATGTTTGAAGATAAGATATTGTATAATTGCAGGTACGATTGCAGTATTATGTTCTTACATTCAAGAAACATTGAAAAAAATGATAATTGTGAAGCATATATATCTACTGTTAACGAACAAGTAATCAAGGCTTTCTGTATAATACCAATAATAACAATTTAGTCAGCATGGATACTGTTCAAGAGCAAGAATGAGATAGAGTGAGATAGAATGTATAGGATAAAATGAAATAGAAATATGTCACTAGTACTATAAATGGTTGCCAAGTCATGTAATTGCAACAGCGAATCAGAATGCGTAACACCGGTTGCGCCTCTCTGATAAATCTAGGACTCTAAGTTTAAGAAGTAAGAGTAAGAAATTGACCAATCACAGTCGAGTGTGAAAAAAAATAATGAGTGCTTTCCAGCAAGGACATAGTCAGATACTGTGTAACACAGTGAGTCGTTTCATCCTTGTTGTTTGCCAACGTTAAACAAGGATGAAACGACTCAATGTGTTACACAGTGGGTCCATTCAATACCACGACTGCTCAATGATAGCGCTCACTAAGTAAAAAAGAGATTAATCTTAGATTAATCCCTTTTTTACTCAATGAGCGTTGTCATTGAGCGGTCGTGGTACTGAATGCACCCATTGTCTGAGTGTGTCCTTGCTGGAAAGCACCCAATGGCTGCGTTCAGCAGACTCAACAGTTTTGCAACCGTTTTATGATTGTCTGCTGAGATAGGACCATTCTTCTAGATCTAAAAGTATGATCCAATTAGCGCGAAGGAAACTTACAACAGTTGCAAAACAAACGTTCTGCTGAACGCACCCAATGTCACGTTCGCAGTAACTTCATTTTTGTCCAATAATCATTTTGAACAGACTTGCTGGTGTAAGTTTTTTCCCGAATTTATGTATTTATAGAGATCTAGTGTCCTAGTTTCCTAGAATTTCTGTTTTTACAAGGAAAGGGGATTTTAGGTACCAAAACTCTGTGTCTAGATGGAAATGCGGTCAAAAGAAGATTTCTGCGATTATCGTGTGTCCAGTAAAAACTTAAGGCACTTTATTATTATTATTATTATTAAGGAATCGCCTCAACGCGAAATACACAAATTATTATAATTAATACACGGCGCATTGATTTAACAAAACCTTCTGGCTAACCGTAAAGATTACTTCGTAGTTGACAGATGTGAACGGCACACATTCCTTCGCCACGTTCCTTCTCCCTTCGCCAGGTATACGGTGTGCGATATTTTACGTGCCCTGCGATATCTTATGTATCCCGAGCCGTGCTTCTACGTGTAATTATGTGGTATTACGTGAGAAGTGTCCCGTGTTGTGGCGAAGAGGGAAAGATGCCGTCTTCTAGCGCATACGTCTTTCTTCTTCTTCTGGTTTCCCCTTGTTTGATTTTCCGACTCAAATATAGAGTCACAGTATCATGCAGAGAACGTAGAAATCTTAATTCTCATTTACATACGATTTGAGACCTCTGCTCTCCGAGGAGGTTATTTATTGGATCAAATTGATCCAATAAATAACCTCCTCGGAGAGCAGAGGTCTCAAATCGTATGTAAATGAGAATTAAGATTTCTTTAGTTGGAGATCTTATCAATGCGTTGAACTCTCAAAGCAGAAATACTCCAGATTCACAGTAGAGGGGTGAATTGGATATTCTAGGGAAATGAGATTCCCCCATATGATAGACCGCTCAGAGAATTTCACTAAAGTTTTTTTTTTTATAAATTTGAATTATTATTTTTAATAAATTTAACCAAATTCTTTATTGCCGTAATATTACCAGTTGCAATAACACTTGAAATAGATAAAGGAGGGAAAATTTTTAATTTAATTAATTTATTTATTAATTCTATTTTTATTATATTATTTAGTTTAGGACATGCTCAAAAGATATGGTCGATATCTTGAATATCAAAACCACAGTCACACATACCGGACTATCTTTTAAATTTTTTTTTAATAGAAATTCATTTGTATACGAATAGCCTGTAACGAGTCTAATAGTAACACAAAATTCTTGTCTATTATATCTATGCTTTTTAAATGAATTTAAGTTTATATATTTAGCCAAGTTATTATAAAATAATCCTGTATTTTGATTCAAAGATTGTATGAAAGATTCATTGATATCGTTGTAATGATATTTCATATTTGATATGCATTGACTATAGTCTATTTTATTGTTTAAAGATTCACCTGAAATTGATGCAGATTTAGCCAATTCATCCGCTTTTTCATTACCACTAATACCCACATGTGCTGGGCACCAGGTGAAACGAATTCTACCATTTGGAAAAGTCGTATTGTATAATAATAATTTATTTTGTAGATCTCTAATTAATGGGTTTAATTTGAATTGATCTGGTTTTCTTTGGAATAGTGCTTCTAAGCTACTTTTAGAGTCAGTACATATATTCGAAAATAAAGCCTTGTGTTCAATAATACAATATCTGGTTTTAACATGTTTCTTGAAGACAACAAATATCAAAGTTTTCAATCCAATTTGAAAACTCCTTTATTTTGGATGAAAATCCTCTACAGTTCCATTGAAGGCATTTCATCATTTTATTTAATAATTAATTAATATAACAAGACAAAAGAAACGTTAATAAATAAAAACTTAATACCAAATACAAAAACAGATATATACTATATTAACTGAAGATCTGAAGATGGAGAATTATCTATCTATTACTTGGTAGTTTGATAAATAATTTAAAGCTATTTTAGCAATGTTTTGAAGTTTTAATTTTCTGGAGAGGTTTGATTCGAATAATAAAAGATAAATTTGAGTTAATACTGTATCGTGTGGGGATATTGTTGTTGAATCTGATTCTATTAAGACATCGTTAATATTAAAGTTAGATCTTCTGGTATTTGGGTGGTTATTTAACATATAATTATTTATTATGTTACCATATGAAATTCTTGTATCTAATGATGTTTTACTATTATACATATTATTACCTATATCCTGAGAGAATTTGTTTTACTCAGATTTGAGTATGACATTTGACTTCCGGTTGAGTAGAGTGGACGGGCAGACGCATGTTCAGGAAGAGGGATTAAGAGAGTATATTTAGAAGTAATTAAGAAACAGTGAGAGACAAGAGTAGGTGGGGAGACGAAAGAGGAAGAAAGGATCAGCGGCGAAAGAAGAAAAATAAGAAGGAAAGGAAGGAAAGGAAGGTGAAGAAGGAACAAAAGCGGTGAGAATTTAGAGGTTAAGAAGAAGCGAGAAGCAAGAAACGGAAAAAGCAGAACGTAGAAGTAATAGGAGTAGAGGACAGATGGCGCCAGCGGGCAGACCGATAGGTAGTAAGAATAAAACCAAAGAGGAGAGTAAGAGCATGGAGAAATATGTAACGGCGGGTGAAGACTTCATCATGAAGTCGATGGAGAAGATGGGAAAGGAGATCGAGGAGAACATAGGAAAGAAAATGGAAAAAATGCTAGGACAGATAGAACAGATCAGAAAGGAGTGGAGAGAAGAGAAACAGGTAAGAGACGAGGAAAAAAAGAAAGATAAAGAAGAGTGGTTAGATGAGAGGAGAGGTATAGAAAGCAGGTTAGAAAACTTGGAATGGGAGAGAGAGAGAAGAGAGAGAGAGAAAAGGAGAAATAATATAGTGATAAGAGGGGTAGAGGTGTGGGGAGAGAAGAGGATGGAACAAGAGGTCAAGGAATTCATAAGAGATAACCTGAAGACGGAAGTAGAGGTAAATAAGGCGTTTAAGTTAAGAATGAGAGGAGACAGGAGTACGGTGGTAGCAGAGATAAGTAGCTGGGGACAGAAGAGAGAGATAATGGTCAAGAAAAAAGAACTAAAATCAGGAATATTCATCGACGACGACTTAACGAGAAAGGAAAGAGAAATACAGAAATACTTAAGAGAGAAGGCAACAGAAGAAAACAGAAAAGGTAACAAAACTAGAGTAGGTTATAGAAAGATATTCCTGAAAGATAGGTGGTACCGTTGGGACGAGAAGGAGAAGAAACTAGTAGAAGAAAAAGAGAGTAAGGCAAAATGAGAACAAGAGTGTAGGGGAGAAGAAGAGGAAGAAGAAGTGATAAAAATCTGTTTTTGGAATGTGGCAGGACTAGTCAACAAGTGTGAGGAGACGTGGAGATATTTGGAAAATTTCGACATACTTGGATTAACAGAGACCTGGGTAGAAGAAGAGAGGTGGCAGAAGTTGAAAGAGAATTTACCAAAAGAATTTGAGTGGTGGAGCATACCAGCAGAGAGAGAAAGTAAGAAAGGCAGAGCGAAAGGAGGAATAATCATGGCGGCAAGAAGAAATAAGAAAGAAATAAAGATAGAAAAAGTAGATAAGGGAATAATGGAGATGAAGCTGGAGCTCGAGGGAAACAGTTGGAGGATCTTCACGATATATAGCCAAAAGATAGACGAAACAATGGACAGAATTTTGGAGAGATTACAAGAAGAAGAGGAACTACTACTACTAGGAGGTGACTTTAACGCAAGAACGGGAAACAAAGGAGGACCAATAAGAGAGGAAAAAGTTAATGAGAAGAAAGAAGTGAGACAGTCAATAGACCAAGAAACCAATGGAGAGGGACGTAAGCTGATAAGTAAGATAGAAGATAGAGGATGGACAATACTAAACGGAAGCTTCGGGGAAGAAGGGGGATGGACATACATAGGAGAATGCGGTTCATCGGTAATCGATTACGTGATAAGCAACGACAGAGCGATAGGAGAGGTGAAGAGAGTTAAGGAAGGGATACGGACAGAATCAGATCATTTACCGCTAGAAGTGGAACTAATTGGAAAGCAAGAGACTGAGAGGAGAACCAAGAAAAGGGTAATAGAATTAGAAAGGAATGACTGGACAGAAGAAGGGATAAGTAGATATCAAGAAAATTGCAGAGGATGGATATGCAAGCAACATAATGTAGAAGGAGCGTGGACGGAGATGAGAGAGAAGATAAAGAATTCGCTGGTGAGATACAAAAAGAAGATAATACCATGGAGTTTGGGAAAAAAGAGCTGGTATGATAAGGAATGGAAAAAGAGAAAGAGAGAGCTGAGAAAGACGCTGAGAGATTTAAGGAAAAGAAAGATAAATAGTGAAGTATATGTCACGAAAAGGAAGGCATATAGAGAATGGTGCAAAGAACAGAAGAAGAAACACGAAAGAGAAGAGGAAAACAAGATACGAAATATAAAGAGTGAAACGGAAGCCTGGAAGTATATAAATAAATTTAGAGTATGTCATTTCAATGTCATTTAGGTTCACTTCTTCATAGAATATATTGTGGTTATTTTCATATAATATATTGTTATATCTTCTGTAATCTCTTGTCAAGCGTAAGCCATAGAGTGGCATGTTCTAAGAGCATCTTTAATATCTTTAATATTTTGTTGTTTAATAAACTTAAGAGCCATTCTTCTGTCAACATTTGCATAAGCACAGATAGTGTTTATTAGTTTTAATTTTTTAAAAATATGACATCTTAAATCGAATGAATTATGATCTTTAGAACAATTTACACATTTGATAGTCTGTGTGTTACAGTTATCTTTAGAATGATTTCCACCACACGATGGGCATGTTAGTTTTCCTTTACAATTGCGCGAGATATGACCCCATCTTGCGCAATTCAGGCATTTTCTCACTCTATTAGCAAAGGGGATAACTTTAATTTTAACAATAATAAGATTGAAAGACCGCTAATGTTAAACATAATACTTTAAATTGAGAAGCGCCATAACGGTCAGAACGTTAAGTATGTTGAACTATTGTAAATTCATTTAAATGAATTAATTTCAGAAATGATAATTGCGTGTCGATATGGTTATCGGACTTTCAACGCAATCAAATCTGAAAATATTAATAATCCCCCCAAATTTTCCCAACTTAAAAACTGTAATAAACTTATTGCGAAAAATAATGCCTCGGCCGGGAGTCGAACCCGAATTTGATTGCGTTGAAAGTCCGACAACCATATCGGCACGCAATTATCATTTCTGAAATTAATTCGTTTAAATGAATTTACAATAGTTCAACATCTTAACGTTCTGACCGTTATGGCGCTTCTCAATTTAATTTTAACCTTCCATAGGTCGATAAATTCAGGTAAGATTCCTGAGCTAAATGTTATTTTTATTGTTTCTGAGTTTTCTAGAGTATGAGAATTTTTAGAGATAAACTTTAGTTTTTCCATTTTTAAAATATCAAAGGGATTGCCTGACCAGGAAATTCCTGATTGAATATCCTCTAATGATAAAGAGGGATCTATGCCTCTTATTATTCCAATTCTAGATTACCTTTGTAAAGATCATACTTTATGACAGTGCGCATTTGTGTTCGGGAACTTCCGTCATAATTCCGTTAGAACAACCAATAATGGCTGCGGTCCACTTGACGTTACAAATGTTTCGAAGCATTCTTTGATTAGTAAAATTCTCTGTTCTGATTGGTCGCTCAAACGCTTCGAAGCGTTTGTAGCGTCAAGTGGACCGCAGCCAATATGATAGAAGAATTTGAATATTGTATATTTACTTGGTTACTGTTATATTTGTGTTTCAAGGTTCTTTTCCAAAAGATAAAGATTTTCATACGGATATAACGAAAAATGGCAAGTAATAAGAGTAGACATTATACGCCTCTGCGGAAAAGAATCTTTTCTTACAAATTTTAAATAAATATAAAAACATTATTGAATGCAAAAAAAGTAATGTTAACACACTTCGCGAAAAAGAAGTTGCGTGGACTAACATTTGTGACGAATTTAATAATTCGTCATTAATTACGCAAGAGGTAAGAAACATTTATTTCTTTATAGAATATAATTAGATAATTTTAACAAATTATGTCAACAAACTGAATATAACATGAATGTAATACGTACAATTGAAAGGCTTGCTACAATAGTGAGTTAATCTACATTTTGTAAAAATGGAGAAAATAAACTTGGATTCTGTCACTCATCCATTTTTAACAGTTCAGCTAGTGTTAATTTTACAACGTAACTAGAAAGAATATTGCCTGAATGTAACATATGAGATTTGATAGAAATAGAAGAGTGAACGTCCGAGTTCATTTTCTCCATTTTTACAAATTGTGGGTAATCTATTATTACAGCAATTTCTGTAATTAATGTTTATTTCAACAAATTCTTATCGAGTTGGTTGTGAAATTATTAAAATATTTATTTTACATTGTATTAATATTCTTTTAACAAATAAGAAAAAAGCTTACGAACTGTACGTATAAACATCTTCATTGTATTATTTGTAAATTTATATAAACATTTCAATTGGTATATAAATCTAGTTTGGCTCTTAAATTCCTTCGTTTAATTTTAAATTCATTATTCGTCATTTTAGTATTATAAATATAACAACTATTTAGTTATTACTATTAATTATTTAATATTCCTTTATTTTTGTAGAGAAATATACAACAACTGAAAAAGCTGTGGACCAACTTAAAACAAACTCAAAGAGATATTATAACAAAAGAAAGACAAGCTAGATTTGCTACAGGTGGCGGACCAGAAACACCATCCTCAGAACTTGATCCAAATGTTGCTTTAATAGCGTCTAATTTAATGGCCACAGCCCCTACATTATTTTCATCAAATATGAATGATGATGAAATAGAAAGTAAGCATTTATTTGGGAATAGTAATAGTAAATAATAATGGTTATAGTAATTGTTTGCATTTATTTTTTACAAAATTTTAGATCATAAACAGATCGTACAAGATATAAATGACAGTACAATAGAATTTGAGTTTGATCAAGTGACAGATAAGGAAAACATACCTTTATGTAAAACAAAAGCATCAGATTCCCAAGGTATGTTATTAAAATATATGACAGTAAGCTGAAAGTTTTTGACAATTCTTGATTGTAATTGGCTAATTCTTACGGTACATGAAATATATGAAATATAAATATTAGCTTATTAGATAAGACTTATGTTTATATTTATACTTATATTTATATTTATATTTATTTTTATAAAGTGATTCTTTTACATCTTTAAATATGTTATATTTTTTTTACAGAAGTTATAATAGAAGAAATAACAATGGGAACAAGCAAGACCACGAAGGAACGCAAGTTCATAGAAACAGAAGATGATCTAAAAATTGAAAGAATAAGGAATATAATAAAGCAAGAACAACAGTTGGCCAAAGTAAAACTCAAACATGAAGAAACGATGGCTGCTATTAAAGAAACTCATTTAAAAGAAATAAATAAAGCAGAATTAAGGATGTCGCTAGCAAAAGTTGCAGAAGTTGAAAAAAAGGCTGAAATAGCTGAAATTTTATTAAAGAAAGAAAAAGATATTATTCCTTAACTATTTGTAGGTTTAAAACTATAAAAAACTTTAAAAGACTTAAAAAAACGTGAGATTGTTTATGTAAACTATTTTATATTATCTCGCACGGAATGCAAGAGATCCGGGTTCGACTCCCGGCCGAGGCATTATTTTTCGCAATAAGTTTTATTACAGTTTTTAAGTTGGGGAATTTGGGGGGATTATTAATATTTTCAGATTTGATTGCGTTGAAAGTCCGACAACCATATCGGCACGCAATTATCATTTCTGAAATTAATTCATTTAAATGAATTTACAATAGTTCAACATCTTAACGTTCTGACCGTTATGGCGCTTCTTAATTTAATATTATTATGTTTAACATTAGCGGTCTTTCAATCTTATTATTATTTTATATTAACTGTTCATTATACTAATTTTATTATTATTTTAAGTTTTTTTATTATTTTATTATTATTTTAAGTTTTAACTGTTCATTATACTAAGTTTATTATGTTAAGTAACTGTTATTTTGTGCATTAAGTAATGAATAAGTAATAATAATAATAGAAAAGAAGTTTCAATTAGTATATATTACGGCGACAAGAGATTTCAGGGTAAAATACAACAATACGAAACTGTTTTTTTTTTTATTTTATTGTCTTGTGCTGTCTGGAAATGTAAAAAATTTATCGAAATAAACGCTCGATAAGAGCTTGTCTCATTGCAAACCCTTCTCCTGGCTGCCATTGTGGTGAATTTACTGGAACATCTTCATATTCATCACATACATCATCTTCATTACCCTCAGGAAGTTCATCACGGAATATTAATGCAAGATTGTGTAGCACAGCACATGCTACTACAATAGATGTAGAGCATAATAATTTTGTGCTGAGTCCTCTTGATAGACAAGGAAATCGTCATTTCCATTCGCCATATGTTCTCTCTACAATTTGTCTTGTCCGTCCATGAATAGTATTATACCTAAAAATAATATTTACATACATGCGTTAATATATTCATAAAACTATATATATGTATATATATGTATATCCATAAATATATACATCAATTCCTCATCTGTCTGAGGATTTCCTATTGGTGTCAAAAGAAATGGTAAAACTGGATAACCAGAATCACCAACTAATTTCCCATTTAACTTTCCCTCCATATATCATATATATATCCTTGAGTTTTGAAATATCCTGCTATCATGTTGACTGCCAGGATATTCTGGTATAATATTCAAAAATTCCATACGAGGTCCAACAATAGTCTGTATTATAATAAATGTTAACGTGAAATTATTTATTATAATATTGTATCATTAGCATTATTTAAATAACTGTTAGAAATAATTATTACTAATTTTGAAGTAGTATACATACTTGTACATTTAATGAAAAGTATCCTTTTCTATTTCTATAAACTTCATCAAGACGATGGAATCTTGTATGTGTTAATCGTATATGTGTGCAATCAATTGCGCCGTCAATTCCGGGTAAACCAATTGCTCCGTTACCATAACCAAGAACGCGAAATAATTGATGATTCTCATTTCTTCTTTCCTGCGTAGTGGGTATCTGAATAATTTCTTTAATTAAACTAGCAAGTAGAGCTGACACACGAAAAATAATTCTAGACACTATTGATTGTGACAATAATACTGTGTCTCCAACTACCATCTACATATAATTTAAAAAAAAATTATTTTAATTTGAAAAAAGAGATATATTTACATAAATGCATTTATTATAAATATCATATACTTCTAACCTGAAAACTTG